TGCTGCTGGAGAGAAGAGGCAGCAGCCAACCTTGGCAACCTTGGGGAGTTTCTCAGCTCCCAGAGGCATCTGGGCTTCCAGCAGAGCCCGAAATAGGCTTCTCTGGGTGTAAGAGGGGAGGCGGCAGTTACAACCACAAGGGCAGCCTTCCTAGGACATGGGGGTTCCCTCTCCGGCTCCTCCGTGGGAAGGCATGGAGGTGTGGGTCAGACCCGCAGGCAGCTCCTCCACCCCTACAAGAGTTTTGTGGCTGCCGACTCCTGAGGCCTGGGGCGGGGGTGGGGGCCTGGGGGCACGGCTGGCCTCAGCCCAGTGTAGGGGTCAGAGGGCTAGTGTCTCTCCCTGGAGCCTGTGCTTGTGGACGTGTGTGGGAACAGAGGAAGGGTCTTGACAAAACTGAGGGGCAGAGGATGGGGGAGCTTTGGGACACCTGAGAAGCTTACCAGTCTTGCCCTTACGCCCCTAAGCCCCTCTCCCCCAAAAGGGCCAGGTCCTGAGGCAGAGAGAGCAGGAGGAGGAGAAACAGGAAAGGCAGGCGGGTGGGACTTGGGGCTGGCAGGGGGAAGCTGGGCCAGCCCCGGGCCGGTTCTCCAGGGCTGGACTGGGCTGGGCTGGGGGCTCCTGTCAGCACAGAGGTGGGGTCTGGTGGAGTGTGGCAGTGGGTATAGGCAGGCCGGATCTAATTGCTATCTCAGGCCTTCTCAGATTAATCGTGGGCCTCTCTGGGAGCGCTGAGCACTTCGGTAAACACCGCCCCCAGCCCAGCCCCAGCCCCCTCTAAGAGTCAGCAGTGGGGGCACTAGAGAGGTGCCGAGAGAGAGCCGAAGCCTTGCCAAGAGCTCTGGCTCTCCAGAATCAGCCGTGCGTTCAGTCCCTCTGCATGCCCCCATTCCGGGGAGGCCGGATGGCATCCCATGAGCTGGATCTTGGACATGTCCCCTGCACATTCTCACTGGAAGAGAATCTCCAAGGTCTGTCCTGGGGACTCTGCCTCATTTCCTCCTGGGACCCCTGGGGACGCCCGGTGCCTCCTGAGGCCCAGTGGGCCCCGTGCTGGCAGATGGCTGAGAGCGGCCCTCCAGGGAGGCAGGGTGGAGCATCTGGGACGCTACTACCCACTGTGTGCCTGTGTGGGTGCTCACACGTGCGGGTCTGTGTCTCTGAGTGTCTGACAGATCCAGGATCTGAAATGCCCTCGGGGCCCGCCAGCCCCCCAGGAGCTGCCGAAATAGCTGCCCCTCCCTCAGGACCCCTCCTCCAACTCCTCAGAAGTGCTTCTTGCTCCTTTTCCTCCGAAATCCGTTTCTAAGTCGGAATCAGGGAATATCGATATGGAGCCGGGTAGGTCCCAGGCTCAGGGGAGGCAGAAGGGAGAGAGCATCGGGGAGAAAGGAGAGCCGGGCCGGGCGGGACTGGGGGACAGGCGAGCACTTTGGCTGTCCTTTCCACGGCGAGGTTCACCCCACCTCCAGATAACAAGACTGCCCTGCTCCGTCCTAGATTTGACGGCTTTCTTCTGCCCAGGACAGGGGTTCCGGGAGAGTGTGGCCTGGGGCCTCTCCGCTGGCATCCCCAGGGACCAGCACTTGTGGGAAGTGAGCACGGATCTGTAGCTATAGTCAGTTACCAGTTTGTGGGGCTTGGGGACTCCAACTATATAGGAAAGGTGTGTGTGCACCGGTGTGTAGGTGTGTGAATAAGTGTGTGGGGGGCTGGGGTTCGGGAGGGTCCCTCCAGGACATGTGGTGCCTGAGTGACCCCTGAGCCCAAGACACTCAGCCTTTCCGCCCCAGGTGGTGGGTTCAGGTGGGGGCCCTGTTTCTTGTAGCTTTTCTCCTTCTCTCAACTCCGCAGGGACCATGTCCTAGGGCGCTGTTGGCTACTCCAGTTACCTGTGCCTCACCTGGGAGCTCCCTGCCCACGGCCTCCCTAGGGGCTGGGAGGGGCCTGCTGGGAAAACTGGACCTCAGCCTCCTCGCTTCTTTCTGACCTTTATTTTCTTGCCCTTTGCTCTGTTCTTCCAAGAGGCTTTGAATTCTTTCAAAAGGTTGAGCTGGAGAGAGGGCTCTGCTCCTCCGCATCCCCATTCTGGGCTGAGCCTCGGTTTTCCCTTCTCTAAAATGGGGAGCCCCCGCTGACGCTCCCCTTTGAAAGGTTGGCGAAAGGTGTCTGTAACAGCTCGGCTGGGTGGCTGGGGTCACTGGTGAGGAAGGCACGACCCGCTGAGCTTGGAGTTATGAGGCCAGTGAGGAGGGGACCGAGGTGTCCCTCTGCGTCTGGTCGCTAAGGG